TATTGTGTGCAGTTCTGGTGTCCTCAACATAAAAAGGACATGGAACTGTTGGAACAAGTCCAGAGAAGGGCCATGAGGATGATCAGGGGACTGGAGCACCTCCCGTATGAAGGTAGGCTGAGAAAGTTGGGGCTGTTCAGCCTGGAGAAGAGAAGGCTGCGTGGAGACCTCATAGCAGCCTTTCAGTATCTGAATGGGGCCTATAGGGATGCTGGGGAGGGACTCTTCTATCAGGTACTGTAGTGATAGGACAAGGGGTAATGGGTTAAAACTTAAACAGGGGAAGTTTAGGTTGGATATAAGAAGGAAATTCTTTCCTGTTAGGGTGGTGAGGCACTGGAATGGGTTGCCCAGGGAGGTTGTGAATGCTCCATCCCTGACAGTGTTCAAGACCAGGTTGGATGAGGCCTTGGGTGATATGGTTTAGTGTGAGGTGTCCCTGCCCATGGCAGGGGTGTTGGAACTAGATGATCTTAAGGTCCTTTCCAACCGTAACTATTCTATGATTCTACGATTCTATGAATGCGTAGTCTCTCGCTATAATGCAATCACTGTTATTGGTAATGTAATATATTGCAGATGTATATGAACCTGACAGTTGCATAAGATTAATAGGTAGATACCATTGGAATAAACAAAATCTGATATTTTTTTTAGGAGCTTTTAAAAGTGTGTTGGTCAGGACCTAAGCCAATGTATAAAACAATATAACAGGTAGTCAGTTGCAGTAGCAATTCTTTTTCCAAGAAATGTCGTATGTATCAACCTGAACACAAAAATATCAGTGTATCTCCTGTAAAAGTTTGTGTGGAATAATTCAGAATAGGCAGAAATTTCAATCTGTTGAAGCTGGTGCATGACTGAATTAGCATTTCATCTGGAAATTAAGGTTTGGGTATTGTGTTATTTATTACAGGTAGGCTGTCTCTAGCTTTATTTCACATGCATATCTTGATATTGTATAACCTATTCTGTCTTTCCAGACAAGAAATACAATTCATTAGAAAACAAATAAGTGAAGCAAAATGTACGAATCAGGATTTTTTTTCCCAAACCTGTTTTTTTTAAAGGGTAGATTTCTAACAGTCAGATTAAATCTGAGCTATATCAGATAGGGAATCCATTGCGTACTGGCTGCATCATGTTTTCTAAACTAAAACCTTTCAAGAATATCTTATGTCCTTCTCTAAGTGTATGGAAGAAATGACAATAAGGTAGACACAGTTAAAGTGAAGTTCTTATGAAACTTTCTCAAGCATTTATTTCTCCAGATTGCTTGTCTTTGTACCAGAACAAAAGAGTCATTTGGTGAGAAATAGCAGGGCCATAAATCCTCTGTGTCATTTTCTGGAGCAAAATAGAATTTCTTCTCTCCAAGACTAGGTCCTAAAGACCATGTGGGCCACCTTTGTTTAGGGCCTTGATCTTACCTTGTTAGAAAATCTCCTTAATATTTTTAAAAACCCTCCCATTGTGAAAGTGTCCCAACTTATCCCCAGACCAGGCTAGAATTTATCGTCAAAACCAGAAATAAGGTGTTCTGCTTTCAGAATGGAATATTCAGGCCCAAAGACACAGCAGAGATACTACACAGTGAAGACTTGGTTTGGGTCTCTCATTCCTGTGTAAATGATAATTAGCACTTCTGTGCTAACACACCAGTAATTTGATGCTTTGAGAATTGTTTCTGTGAAGAAACAAATTATTTTTAAGTGCTTCTAGATACGTGCCTTTTTGTGTGTGTGTGTCATTGAGTTAAGAGAGTGCAGCTGCACTGCACTTGTAGTAGCAGAAGATACAGAGGAGCCATTCAAAAAGCTTATAGGGAATTTAGAACTGTACATAAGTATTTTGCATGAAGCTGTTCATCTTCTACCGCGTGCAGGTTGTGTAAATATTGGTATTCATTCTCTTTCTGTATGAAATATTAACAGCTAATAGGATAAAGTGAGCTTGTGTATGAAAACAGGTGTTTAGGAAATGTGACACCAGTGGGTTTTTGTTTGTTTTTTTTTTTTGCTTTCATAAAGATTTTACACTTAAAATTCAGTAATATAAGGAAAGTAATTTGACACTGGAGCTGTGCAAAGCTGCATGATGCTGTGAATCTGTGACTGTGCCCTGCCAATTCCTTTTAAGTTCACCTCAGTGAAGCAAACAGTTGCCTACATAGTGAATTCAAGAGGGTTACAAACCTCCCAGAACAGTCAAGGAATGTACTATGGTCAATTTAGGATAAGCTTATACCTATTCCTTATTTCATGATTTAGTTTAAAACCTTCCTACCCATTACCTATACACCATTCCAACTATATAATGAAACCATGGTATAGATCAGCGTCCTGGGTTCAGCTGTAACAGTTATTTTTCTCTCTCTCAGTAGCTGGTGCAGTGCTGTGTTTTTGACTTTACCATGAGAACAACACTGACAACGCACCGATGTTTTCAGATGTTGCTAAGTAATGTTTACCCTGATCAAGGACTTTGAGTCTCATGCGCTGCCAGTGAGGAGGGGAACAAGAAACTGAGAGGAAGCAGAGACAGGACACCTGACCCAAACTAATGACAGGAGTATTCCATAACACAGCACATCATGCCCACTCTATAAACTGGGAGGGGTCATCGAGAAGGCCCAGATGACTGCTGGGGTCAGGCTGGGTATAGGTCGGCAGATGATGAGCAATTGTATTGTGCATGACTTGTGTTTATTGTTTTGTTTTCCTTTTCCCCTTTTAGTTTTATATTCTCTCCCCTTATTTCCCTTACCATTATTATTATTGGTGGTAGCAGTAGTGATTTGTGTTATACCTTAGTTACTGGACTGTTCTTATCTCAATCCGTGGGAGTTACATTCTTTCAATTCTCCTTCCCACCCCTCCAGGAGGGAGGAAGAAGAGGGAGAGCGAGAGAGCGGCTGCGTGGTTCTGAGTTACCAGCTGGGCTTAAATCATGACAATCAATTAATTTAAAATTCCAACCAACCTCTTCTATGCACATTTTAATGACTACTACAGAGTATGTCAGTATGAACGGACAAATGAAGGGCACAGGACTGCATGTTCAAGAAAGAATCATTCGTAAACCAGCAATGTCATTTCAGTTTGCAAAGTAGCTGATCTAAGTACTCATATCAATGTAGCAGCAGCAGCTTGCCATGAGCTAACCACATAAATATTTACTTACAGCTTTGGATCTTTTACAGTCATAGGTTCGTGTTCCAGGGCAGTCAGTGGACTAGAAAGTGAGTCCATAGTTGCTTCAGTGTCAAGCAGCAGTGGAGGATATTGGGACATTATAAAATGAGGCATTCACGCGCTGAAAACAACAGGCAAGCTCACCTTTGTAACAACTTTGTTGTCAATAACTGTATTCATACTACTTTTATTCTGCAAGAAATTTTCTACTTCCTTTCACTGTCTTGCAAACAGTGTCCTAGGACATCCAAAAAAGGATGTCCTAGATTTAACAATAGGGAACTTGGGGGTGTGCCCAGCACTCACAGGATGGAGCAAAAGTTTGTATCCAGAGGCAATAATAAAAACATGAGACATATTCTCCTGTTATGGCATGTTATGTCCTTCATGAGACTTTCAGAGCTTAAGACATGCACACAGTATAAATCTAGTATTCTGGTGTGTCACTAATCCAGTCAAATATGGCCCTCTGCCTGGCCAGGGGTTCAGGGTAGGAAAAAAGTACAGCCACATACTCCTGTGCCCTGGAAATATAAGAGCTTTCTGGTGACTAAATATTCTACACTTATTGATTAAGAGTAATGCAATGTGTGGATGTGTTCTGTCATATTCTTTTTTTTTTTTAATTTATTTTAATTATGTGCTGATGTGTTTATAATACTTGTGGTGGATGCAAAAGCAACAATAAAATGTTTTATAAACATTTCAGACTTGTATTCAGTATACATTTTTCTCACTTTGCTTCTAAGTGATTAAATAGAAAGTGCATGTGTGTGCGTGTGTTATGTGTTCTGTCAGCATCATCCACCTCAAAATTATCAGGTTAATGAGTTATGTATTTATTGGTGTGCACTAAGAGTCAGTATAACAAAAGAAAATAGACATCCCTTACGTGCAGTATAAGCAAACTAGTAAGCACCTTCTTTGGCAAAGACATCCACTGATAGTAGTTAATATCCCAATCTGATGTATTTTCCTTTCTTTTGACAGTATACTTTTGCTTATGTTGCACTCAGCTCCATAGGAGGAGTATGGCTCAGCACCAGCCACTCACCCTCATTGCTAGGTTTGCCTATTGCTTAAGAAACTGAAGAGGTTCCTAAATTGTCATCCGACCTCTGGCTTGGAGGTCCTTCCACACCTTTTTCCTATTTTTGTTTCTTCAGCTTGCTTTCATTCTCCTCACATGTACACCATCGAGTCAGGTAGGGTGATGAGGCTTGGAATGTCGGGCAATAAAGTGAAAGATATAGCAATATATTTTTCTTAGGTGCAAAAATGGGTGAGTACCCATTCCTTGTGACAAAACCAGGGTTTACTGATTTTAGCTCTTTTCTGTAGACTGCTATATTTATATTTCTTAGATCAGTTTCTAGAAACAATAGGTGAAAACCATGAAAAAGAACAGCTCAGTACAGGAAGATCATTCTGCACTCCAGTTGAAAATGTTTAAGTGTTGCCATAAAGTTATCGTAAAAGGCTCTTCTGTGTGTGTATTCTACAGACTTTGTTACTGACATAAAGTCCCATTTGTTGTTTACAGGTTGAGTAACTGCAGACATAAGAGACTTGAAATCTTCAGAAGCAAAAAGAAAGGTGGCGTTTTGAGTGATGGTGATTCCTCTATTCACACAAAGAAGATTTTTAGAAGTCTTGTGACTGAATGGCATATCACTGAATATGGGAGCATGGTAAGGACCTGCAGAGCTTTACTTATCCAGTAAGTTCACTGAGAGGTTTGAATGACAAATCTGAAGCTCCCACATTTTCTGGCAGAAAAAAAAAAAAAAGAAATTGGAAGGACACTAATAAAATCATAGAATCATAGAATAGAATCATAGAATAGTTAGGGTTGGAAAGGACCTTAAGATCATCTAGTTCCAACCCCCCTGCCATGGGCAGGGACACCTCACACTAAACCATACCACCCAAGGCCTCGTCCAACCTGGTCTTGAACACTGCCAGGGGTGGAGCATTCACAATTTCCCTGGGCAACCCATTCCAGTGCCTCACCACCCTAACAGGAAAGAATTTCCTCCTTATACCCAATCTAAACTTCCCTTGTTTAAGTTTTAACCCATTACCCCTTGTCCTATCACTAACCTGGGAAGATATTTTAGATTACCCCCCAACTCGCAGGTAAAATAACCTACAAGCTGCTCATGAAAGGACAGAAGAAGGAAAATAAAGGATGATGTTTGAGAATTTCACTACAAAGAAGTGTCATTTTCAAGGCCATTTATGTCATGCTATCCCACATATAAGAAGCTGGTAATAACTGAGCAAAGCTGCTGCCCAGATATCTGTCATCTAGAAACAAAAAATGTTGAGCAGGATGAAAACAATGCCCAAGGATTAAACACTAGGTATGTTAACATTAGGCAGACCAGCAAAGCTACAATCCCTGTTTAATGCTTTCACAGCAGACGTATAAATAGATAGTGCAGCATGTGTTTGGGCCATTTGCAAAAGCAACAATTTGAGAAAGAAAGCTAGACCACATAACTAGACATAATTCCCATAATGTTAGTAAACACTGCACATACTATAGCTTGAAACAGCCAGTGTGTTTATATTTTTTCCTTTCTGTTTCACAGCCTTATCATTAGGAAAAACTACTGGCAGTGGGGAAAAGTGCAAAAAGAAAATGTTTATACATAAATACCTTCTGTATGTTCAGTCTTTTGCCTAGGGACTAGAATGTCTGTTCATTGACACTTCTCGCTGTCCAAAGGCCACTCTCAGGTTGACCACTGAACTGATACTCAGAGTTCAATAGGTCATTCTCAACACTGTTTTAAGTAAGATGAATCCAAGGTAACCCTGCAGTCTTAACTAAAATATGTTCTTGAGGAATATAGTTGGAATTCTGTTTAAAATATCCATTTTTCTTTGCACATCAATTAATTAACAGCAGGGTAATTAATTGTGATAAAGGCATTTGTGAGGTCTACAGTAAAGTTCCTCAGCAGCAAGAGGTTTTCAGGGGCAAGTAGTGCTTAACATCAAACAACATCCTTACTGATTTGGTATTACTCTTTAAGACACTTACATGAAGCAAGACATTTTTGTCCATATCAGTGGCCAATGCTACAGTAGATTTGAAGGCAATTTCTGACAGTTATTTTCATAATTCCTGCTAAACTCACACTTCTGAATATAGTCAGTTTAGATTAATGGCAATCTTGCCGTACTGCTGTGGCTGGCTGTCCAGTGATAGGAGTGCATATTACACTGATGGAAAAGTTTTTTGTTTTCCTAGATAGACTGTGTGAAAAAATAAAGATAAAAAAAAGGGATTATGAGTACAAGAATCAATCAGCATATAAAGGGAGAAGTTGAAATTACTGGGTAACAGAAAGCAACAAAGACAGTTACAAAGGATTTCAGAAATATCAATGAAGGATTATCTGTTCTGGAAACCAATTTTAGCTATCCAACCTTCACCCTGTAAAGTTTCATATCTATCCTAACCTCCAGCTGACCTTGCCAGCATAGTCTGTTGAATGTATTGAATGTATTTATGAGAATCCTAATACTTAGACATTAATAAAATCTAGAGCGAATCTTCAGGCCCTTTCATCCTTATCACTTTGTACCTCTTGATATGTCTAGGCCTACATAAGCACTACTATGCTTACAGTTCTCAAGTACTATACAAATGAGTCAGTTTTGCTAACATAGCTCCCATCCACACTTGGACTCTTAGTAGCTAATTAAAAATGCTTTGTGCTGTCTAAAAAATTATAACTTTGATATAAATCTGGATATCTTTAAAAAGACATGGAAGTAGATGCAAGTAACTTTGCCCACACTTAGAGCTGCCAGACCTGATGAGCTGTGACCAAGAACCATACAGCTGTGTTAAGGTAATAAGAATCTGAGCAAATACATTCACCTGGGAGGCTGAGCTTGCTAGTTTGAGCACAACACCAACCTCATGTGACTACATGGTTTGGAGCTGGCTCTCAGTATGGGTAGAATGAACCCAAGTTGACTATGTAGAGAGATGTTAATGTATGCTGAGGGGAAAAATGGATCAGGAGAATTTAGGTGGGGCCAGATTCAGTTGAAAAATGCTGGTTTGTTTGTTGAGGTGGAATACTTCATGCACTTTGGTTGTTTAAGCCAGGATATTGTTTTTGTTACTGGAAAATAGTGAAGGAGGAGACTGCAGGAAGGGTTGGGAGAGTTAAGGCAACTGACTGTTGATATGGAGAATTCATTCTCCATATATCACAGTATCACAATATGCTAGAGATTGGAAGGGACCTCAAAAGATCATCTAGTCCAATCCCCCTGCAGGAGCAGGAACACCTAGATAAGGTTACACAGGAATGTGTCCAGGCGGGTTTTGAATGTCTCCAGGGAAGGAGACTCCACAACCTCCCTGGGCAGCCTGTTCCAGTGTTCTGTCACCCTCACTGAGAAGAAGTTTCTTCTCAAGTTTAAGTGGAACCTCTTATGTTCCAGTTTGTACCCATTACCCCTTGTCCTATCATTTTTGCCACTGAGTAGAGCCTGGCTCCATCCTCATGACACTCCCCCTTTATATATTTATATACACTAATAAGGTCACCCCTCAGTCTCTTCTTCTCCTCTGTTGCTGTGAGAGAGTTCCTACTTGGTTGCTTGGATCAAACCTTGCAAAGGCAATCACTAATTGTGTGTCTGGGCATTAGTTGTGTGTTCCCCAACTTAACGTCCTCCACCTTGGTTTACATAATTGCTGAGCATTCACATCAGCAACTAAAATAACGGAGAGCTGAGCTTTGTAAGTGTTCTGTGCAATGAGAAAAGAAATCCTGAACATCTCAAACTGGGTATACCAAGTGAAAACTTTTCTCTTTAATTTTTTTTACCCATGCCTCTAGAAAACGGACATGAATAATCTTACCCAAGTACTGTGAAGATAAATTATCCATATTTGTGAAACAGAACTACTACAATGAGAACTGCTGTGAGAAGCTAAATCTGAACTAATAACTGTTTTCAGAACTGAGGTCAAGTAATGTTCTGTAAAAAACTTTGTGGGTTACAAGCTGAGCAATAAAGGTAAAGCAAAATCCTGAATAACTCTCCAGTAAAGTGGTATCATTCATACTGTCCACTGAATGAGACAGACAATCTTTTGTTAATTTGGAAGGACCAGACTTAAACTAAACATTATATAATTGAGGAAATAAAGAAGCTTAAACTGAACTTAAACTTGGTATTTTCTACGCTGTAATCACCTGATTTAATAGTAGTTCTCCCTTAAGGAGAGCACTGTAGATACTGAAAATGACTGACAGTCAACATATGCAAGAAAAGGTTATTAGTATGATGTTTTGTGGGAATGAAGCTTGGAGATGTTGTAAAATCATATCGAACAGAGAAACACTTGGTAATGTAATGCTGTAGCTTTGATAAGGCAGTAGGAGAGAAGGATAGATAATATAATTTAAAGAAAAATAAAGGGAACATGTAAGCAAATGCTGGTAACAAGTAATAAATCTCATTTCAGCCCTTTACTTGTTTGGGCTCTCTCCTGCTGAAAACTATAAGCTTTGCACATAATTAGGCATTCATGCTGCCACAATAAATCACTTTTCTGAACACACTGATGCACCCTGACACAGTAAGGCCAAGCTGGCAGGTCTGCTCTAAATAAGGATCTGCTGAGTAGCTGACATGAACTTCTGATGCATTTCAAATGGAGACAGTGAGAATCCTTTAACAAGCATCCTCTCTGTTTTTCAAAGACTTCCAAAGTCTGTATATTACTGATTTATCAGAACATTCTTGTGCATATACTGTACCTCAGTGGAAGTATGTTCATCACAGCATTTTGCTGATGAACTATGACTCCTGCTCTCCTAATTTTCTGGTATTTGTTTTTTATTTCCTGTAAATGGTTTGCAGCATGCATGAGATGTTTCTGTAGATGCACACAGGAAGCTCTTTGCCTAAATGACATTCAAAATGAATAAAATAAATATAGTTTTGGGAAAAAAACAAAAAAAATAAAGAAAGGTTTAACAAATCTCTGAAAGCAAACACTGACATTAGAAATGTTGAGCACAATTACTTTCACCTTACTTACATGAAAATCTGTTCAATTCCTGATCTGGAAACAGAGAAGTACTGAAAAGAAAATTCATATGCTAAAATAGATTATCTAAGAGAAACTCTTAATGTCACCTACAATTAAAGGTTTTGCTGGTGCCTAAGGTGTCAAACGAGTTAAATGACTTTATGGGACAAAAGGACCAAATGTAGTGCAGTAAAACAAAGGCAGTGTGTGTCTTTGCTTTCTTAGGCCTTTTCTTGATGCTGTGTAGATGAACAAGTGGAAAACTAATACCTTTGGCAGAGTCACAGCTGTATTTGGCTTCACCAGCAGTGAGATTGGAAGGCTGAACACATTTGCCACCTTGACGTGTCATATTATATAACCCGGTTGAGCCTATAATCAGCCCAGGTGTGTTGGCTGGTAGTGGGAATATATGGCTGCAGGAGTAATAGGTGGAGGAGGGGGTGATAAAATGCAGTTATTTTAATTTGGAGGCACACTTTGCTATGCGCTGTTTTGTGGAATGACTCCAGATTTATATGGCAAAGTGTAAATCAGACAGTTATTCTGATAATCCTTACCCTACTGATGTTTAAAGTTTACTATTGGAAAGGATGGTGCATATGTTTCTTTACACACTACAATGCTATTCCCTCTCTCTGACCTGAAGTCAAAGACCTACTGAAAAGTTTTTCTAGCAACTAATATTTTCTGCACCATAATCCAGATTGTATTTTTGTAACCCTCATTGTCAGTGTTCATCATGCTCAGTGTTTCTCAGGACACTCCCTACAACAACCTCCAAGCAGGCTTGCAGGTGTATAAATAGGGATG